ACTGGACCGACAAAGTCTTCGGATTCTATGAATTTTTCTCCATGTTTTCATTCTTCGTGCACACAGACGCGCCACGTCCACATTCAGATCGTCAAGTGCGCTTACGCGAGCAATGTAACAGACGATATTTCTAGAAGATATTCAACGATCTGATGATCATAGATAAGATAAAATAACACGTGAGCAACAAAAATACAATAAAAGTATAGAAACAGCTGTAAAAACTCTCCTTACAATTGAAATCGCATTTGGGATATGCCGAGGCCCTATTGATTCACTGGGATAGCAGAAACGAGACGGCAAATGGTATGGAAATCGTATACTGTGTGTTGACGTATAATGGAATATACAGTATAAATAATAGTAATTAATAATTAATAATGAATAATAATAGCACTCAATATTTAACATTAATTTGTTAACAATACCGGCCGCGTTTATAAATTCTTATTGTTTTTTATCGATATATTGATCAAATTGTTGAGGCGGTGTTGTAAAAATGCTTCTCGTCTTGGATTTTTGGTTCTTTTCTCGAATTATAATCCTTACTTCGGTCTCCACGTAGGCGCCATATTAATGTTGAGCAACTGAACAGGAATCAAAATAGTGATAAATATAATGCCAACCCTCTTCAGTGTGCGGTCATGTAAATTTCTTTCCTTACCTTAATAAACACATCCTTAGCCTCATGGACTCTGCCCTTTCGGTTATTGCCACTGCAACTCTATAAAAAAAACTAAAGCGTTGTTTTCTGACATGCACGCGCTCTTTTGTATAATCACTCCTTTCTTGTCCCTCGTTGCGTTTAACCTAAAACATCCATAGCTGTCAATGCTAGATGTTATGTTTGTCGTTTTCAATTCCGTGTCGGGCTGTTCGATAGTGATATTGTAGCGTGGCAAGTGTAGAACAACGTATTCACGCCTCGGTGCCGGTTTTTCAAGATCAGAAATAATCTCTTTGTAGATTTATTACGGTAGTTGCGATATTGATATGCTTAAGTTCAGCGGATACTCTTGTCTGGTTTGAGGCCCTGAAGATAAATATCCTTATCTAAGCGGGTTCCGATTCATACGGACAATTTCGGCATGTATTTCCTTTGCTTTGTCATTTCGGTTGAGTTAATCCGGTGTTGTACATTATGCCATCATCGGAAGAACTTTATTAAAGTAGTCCAGACATCATTAAGGAGTTTCTGTGTCTGTGAGTTTGATGTTGAAAAGGAGCGACGATACTGGACATAACAAAGTTCGTTGAGAGCGCAGGTGGGGCTAGCTCACCGCGTTGTTCGCCGCTTTCATGAAAGACCGTCGCTTTTCCAATCTTTCCATGATCGAGTAATTCAATATGAATTGTTGGGTCTGTCCATGTTTATAGTTTTCAGAGCGCAGAGTCAGTTCAAGTTCTATCGACAATGTTGTCCAATCCAACTCCAACAGCTAATGCACGCGAACACTACATGTTGCTTTATAAGACAGGAGGAATGGTGAATGTTAACAGTCAAATAATATAGAATGAGAGTAATTGGATGCAAAACAGTGTTCATACTACTCATTTTACCTTTTTGCCAAGTTAAAAACTTGGCAGGTAATTTTGCCTTTAACTTTACTTCATTCCGATCTAATTGCGTGACAAGAATACAATAGCAGAAGGCTTTCGTCACTTTGTAATTCCTGTTCGTAATCACTCGTTTTCATCCCATACTCTAATCTACACACATTAAACCATGCATGCCTCTCCGAGTCTTTACCTGTATCCGCTGAGGAAAACTCTCCACAAAAAGGCTTGCTGTATTAGAATATCATGCATATCGCTGTTGTCATATTTGCCGATCACCATTTGTGAAACAAGATATTCACCTTGATACGCGATGGGAGTTTATTAGTTACAAGATATTGATATTTTCCCACTTCGTTGAAATTGAGAACACTCTCGGTTGTTTATTTAATATGTTATTTGGTACATCATAATAATTAATACAATAGATAAATGAATAAATTGATATTGATATTCCAGACGCTGTTTTTTCAATGTCTGGTTTTGGGCCCTATTGCTATGGCCAATAATTATACGAGGGAGGTGCAAAGGCTCGAACCGCCATCCGGTTATACCCTCCCTCGTTGTGCTGCCTGGTGCTGTTTGCGTGTTGCTTTTTCCATTGCGGTTGGAAAATGTAACTATTAGCACAGAAACAGTGGAAAGATTGACGAATATTAGAAAATTTCGTACAAGCAGATTTACGATATATATGTACACTCGGGTATGAAAAAAAAAAAAAAAAAAAACTTACAAGAAGGCATCGGACCGCCAGGAAAGAAAGAGACGCACGATAAAATCCTTGCGTCCCATTCAGCACGGTGTTGTATCTCACCGTAGAACACCAAGACCAATAGTAGATGACTCTGAGGAAAAATAATTGAATGGTAAATATTCTATTCTAAACTTGTAGCAAATATAAGCATGTAAAATCTGCTATCTAACTTACGTTCGTCATCATTAATTGTGTGCTGTTCCCGTTGATGGGTAATTCTGCAAAAGCAATTATAAGCTTGCTTTTTTTTGCTTTTCATAATTTGCGTGCCGTTCATCCCGTTGATAGGTAATGCTGCAAAGGCTTTTTTTCGCTTTCCGTAAATTGCGTGCGGTTCTCGTTGGCAGGGTATGTTGACGTAGTAGTAGCGGTGGTAGTAGTAGTAGTAGTAGTGGTGGTGGTGGTGGTAGTAGTAGTAGTGGTGGTGGTGATAGCTGTTGTTGCTGTCGTCGTCATTGTTGGCAGTCTGCTATTTATTGAGGAAATGCGCAGCAAGTGTGATTTCGCATTTTCCGATTGTACGGTACGTGAAGCCATGCAGTGTCACCAATTCTCAGGGACTCGCTCCAACAAAAACGAGAAACTAGCAAGTATTCATACGAAATAAATGTATCAGCTGATGAATTGGGATTTCCATAAGATCCTTCTACGCAGGTTTGTTAGGTGACAAGTGATACAAAAGACTAATCGGTATTGGATGCAAGCAAGTGAATACCGACATGTGTGAAGCGAGACGAGAACCAGAAACTCTTATCATTCATAAGTATTAGACTAAGTAATATGATTAATGATCGTATCCAATTCTTTAGTCCTATGACGGTAAAATGACTTTGTTATCTTGCATAGTCCAAAAATAATTGTTATTCTCAGAGTTTTCACTTCTCACGTGATTATTATAAACATGGCTAAACGTAAATCATCATTTTCATCAAGTTTAATCGGTCAGCATTCCAAGACAATTTTGCTTGTTTATTAATAACAAAAGTCTAACGATGTTTCGCTATGCGTTAAATCCGGGAGGTAATACAGAAGTCGAGGCAATAAAAGAAACAACTAATATAATACTAATTTAATGCTAAAGATTGGCGACATCGAGATATTTGTAGAATAATAATGGGCGATCATACTGAATCAAGTTGTCAATTGCGCGCATATTGCCTCACAATCATGCAATCATTTCATACACCGCACGGGACTGCATCGGGGGTATTCCACATGCTCCGATGGTTTGTATCCAACGCGCAAGTTGTTGGATGATGGTCGAGAGAAAAGACAGCTAGCTCCCAAGAAACACTAAGCGGAGAAGCCTCTGGAATCGCAGCGACCGACGTTAGTTCCACTATTTAGGACTCACAATCAACAAGATGCTGGCGTTGGTTTGGGATCTGCTGGGCGTTCTACAAAGTCATTGCTGTGAATCTTTCCATTGTCTTCTTCTTTGATTTCATCTTTCACTCCTAGTGGAGGTCACGTATCTCGTTTGTTGGGGCATCTTACTAAGGGTCAAGTGTTACAAACTCCAAATTTATAAGTAAATGCTTGATGATAATATAGTTATCCTGGCAGGGCGAATAGTATTTCTCTAAAACACCCCCTATCATCGATACGAATATTGACATTTTCATACCCACACACAAAATAACTAATATAGTGTGGATCGTTCCACTTGCACGTCAATAAATAACCTTAACAAGCAAAGAATGTGAAATCTACCAAAAACAGATTATGCAGTCAACAGTTGTGCTACGAGCGTTTGCTGTCTGTCTGCTCTACACTTGTAACAAATGGCATATGAAAGTTTCGATCCTCGCATATACAAGGGGACTATAGGATAAACTCAAAAGAGATAAGCTCAATACACAGCCGTTGCGTCTGTTGCCCCCAAAAAATCTTAATAAGATTTGGTTTCAAACAAGGACTAAACGCCAATATTGTGAATACTGTCAGCTAGCTCTTTTTGGGGTATACTGATCTTGATAATCGATAACGTGTTGGTAGATACATTAATTACTGTGTGTTACCGTGTAGTGACGAGTATATTTATATCTCTCTTGCATAATCTATCGGATCAGACGCCAACTCGTCTTTTTTGTACGATAAACGTGTTGCTAAACTTGTCATTGGACATTCAACCTGAAAATAGAAAGGTAATAGCAATTTTACACGCGACACAAAAAACGCCAAGCATCATATTGCCATTCAACATTACCCCAAATATAAAGACGGAAAAGGATATCGTGCTTTAGCATGCAGATACATATGCTCATCAGCCCCATCTGTACACTGGTTATCGAGTTTTGTACAGAACAAAGAAAATCGAATAAGGGCCATTTCGGAAAATTGGGTCCGGTCCTAATGCGAACAATATAGCAGTCATTGGAATTGTGGATACTCCTAACTACGCCTAACGAACACCCCTCTTAAAGAGGTACATATATAATGACATGATAAAATCCAGATTCTGCACCAAAGCAAAAACTAAACATTTCGCTACACGCAAACAAAGGCGGGCCTTTAATATTAATAACTTGAAAACATATATACCGCCAAAATTTAAATTTTATATAAATCTGTTACTTTTCTCATCAGAGAGTCAAAGACACAGAAACACATACACTATCAACAAGATTCAGATTTTGTATAAACCTTTTCACTTTTTGCGTTAATATCCAACATACGAGTCGACCGTATGTCATTTTTGGATTTGACGTCTTCACGTAAACCTTTTCACTTTTTTGCATTAATATCCAACATACGGATTTTACCACCTCACCACGAAAGGGCCGGCCGTCCAACCACATCCTCTTCTTCCGGCAAGCCGGCCTGCAAGTTTAAAGCCCGTGACTCTCCCCTGCCACCAAAATTTCCCCGTCGATTGTGGATCCACAAATCATCCCTAGCAAGCAAGCAAGCCTTCCGTACAAACCGGCTTCTTTGGGCATATGTATCGGATATTGCTGCACATGGAATACAGAAATCGGAAGGACTTACAACGGAGGAGGCGTTTCGATGCTGGATGAATATTGGATGAACATCACCCCGACAGCGGGCTGGATTTCAAGAAAAAATTATTTAGATTAAATTAGGAAGAAAAAGAAGAAGCAAAATTTTGAGTATTTGATTATAATAATAATATTAATTACGAAAGTTAATATAAATAACTAGCTGTCATATGTATGTACTCTTAAAATATTTGTTTATAACTTAGTCGATTAAAAATTATTTGTCTATAACTTAGTCGATTAAAAAATATTTGTCTGTAACTTAGTCGATTAAAAAATATTTGTCTATAACTTAGTCGATTAAAAAATCATAAATGTCAATAAATTTTGTTATCAAACATTTAAAAATTACCACACGTATATCTCGTAGTCAATTATGCATGTCTTTGAGTCGTTAGATTTAAAACGCAAAATTAAAAATGACTTTTATTAAAATCACCAACTAAGTGTTAGCGTAAATATCACGGAATTCGCCTGCCAACTTAGTGACCGGGACATCCAATCCCCGCACCTCCTTTTGCCTATTCGCTATCTACAATTTTTGTCTCTTCATCACATATATTTTCCCTGGTCCATCTTGATCGATCATTCATAGACGCGTTGCCATTAATTCTATGGAACCATCTTTGATATAACTCTCTCACGGAGGTCGCGCGATAGGATCGACCGCGACCTGCAGACAAACAAGACTATATTGACCGATACTAAGAACTGTATAGATCAGGCGATATAATAATACTGTTCCGCAATGGATAACAATAATAAGCACACGATCATATACAGAGAGCGCGTCATTAAAATGACGAGGCGAGGAGCCGAATGAGCGTGTATTGACCTTATAGTATACCATATTGGTAGCACCACGCTCTGACCAACTGAGTTACGATGATGTAACGAACAAGCTTTGTGTTTAATTCGTAACACATTGTTAATCAGCGTGTGACTATCGTCCGACGATAGAAACCAACATTTCCTGGGACTGGCGCAGTTATCATACCATCGTGCGGAGAAGATATTGAAGTAGTTGACATGGGTGATTGAGAAGGGAAAATACTTCCTTCTTATATCACATTCTTTTATATGATCAGCATACGAATCACGTAAAAACGCTTCTCTCCCCAAACCCGATTAATCTAAAAGTTATAAAACAAAAGGTATTATTCAGAGTCTGAAATAAGATTGGTCAATAGATGTCACTACAAATCGCAATATTTCATACTTACTAAATCCCTGATAACAAATATATTCGGGGATTACCCACTTGTGAAATTTAGATCAAAGAGTTAACATTACGGACGGGAAACTACGTTTTCGATTCCACTGTATCTGCATAAGAAGACAGTTTCAGTTAGAGAATGTAGTATCAGACGGCGTTCCCTTCTCATATCTTTCTATTGGATAAGTCTCAAAGCATTCGCAAAATCTTATGAGATTCCGGAGGATGCGGAGTGTCATTAACAATTTGTTCATACAATAATTACATTCTTCAATTTATTTAACTCCATTAACAATCCCACACTTGCTTTACCATTAGCCAAATTAACGAGCACACACCCTCTCAACCTTCCCACTCACCGCATAAAACACAACATCTGTTCTAGAATTATCTCCCCATCATGGCCATGGTATTGATCTTTGCTTTCAAGTCGATCAGATGAGTTCCACCACGCAAACGATTTTCGATCTACGAATTCTGAGGTAAATTTGGAGCGACAGTCAATTGAACGTCTTGCAAATGAAACAAGGAAATTGCAAACGGGGTAACTGAATGATGTGACTTGGATAAATGGATTTTTGTGGTCGTCCGTAACGACAAAGTAAATTGTTCTGTCACTCACCGCACAAACACAACTTGGCAAAAGATCCACAGTCATTATGTTTCAAAAATTATCTCTCCTTTCGTCTTCTTATCGTATTGATCTTTGTTTTCAAGTCGGCCGACGAGTTTCCGTCGTGTACACGATTGTAGACTACAAATTCCGTTCTATAATTATCTCTTCTCGTAATCTCTTGCCTTTTTATCATAGCCATGGTATTGATCTTTGCTTTCAAGTCGGCCGACGAGTTTCCGTCGTGTAAACGATTGTAGACTACAAATTCCGTTCCAGAATTATTCTTATCACAGCCATGGTATTGATCTTTGCTTTCAAGTCGGCCGACGAGTTTCCGTCGTGTAAACGATTGTAGACTACAAATTCCGTTCCATGATTATCTCTCCTCGTAATCTCTCGTCTTCTTATCATATCCATGGTATTGATCTACATGATTGGTTGCCTGAATACATTGATAAATAACCCCCAACACGCTTCCAACATTTTGTTTCCCTTTTTCCTTTACTCAAATTCCTCTACCGTAGTCGTTTCCCTATTTTCATTCACAAAATCAACCTCATCGTGCACACTCAACATATCCGTAATACCGGTCTGTGAGTTGGCCGATGAGTTTCCGTCGTGTAAACAATTTTAGACTACAAATTCCGTTCCATAATTACCTCTCCTCGTAATCTCTCGTCTTCTTATCATAGCCATGGTATTGATATTTGTTTTCAAGTCGGCCGATAAGTTTCCGTCGTGTAAACGATTGTAGACTACAAATTCCGTTCCAGAATTATCTCGTAATCTCTCGTCTTTTCATCATAGCCATGGTATTGATCTTTGCTTTCAAGTCGATAGATGAGTTTCGTCTTGCAACCGATTTTCGATCTACGAATTCTGAAAGTAAATTTGGAGCAACAGTTAGTTGAACGTCTGGCAAGGAAATTGCAAACATAACATTACTGAATGATGCGACTTGGATGATTGTAAATCGCTGTCATCTAATATGAAATTTACCGAGTAGTCCTTCCCAGTAAGCGCTTGCTGATTCTTCCTAAATATCAATTGATCTATAAACTAATTATCAAAAAAATATTATGTTCAGGACTCGGCTTTCGTAATCTACTTACTTGAAATCTCAAGAACGGGCGGAGCATCCAATTCATAGTTAGTTCCAAACGCTCCTAACAGAATAGTCTCTTATGGTAGAGCCATGCTGCATACAAAAAAATGCGACGTTAACTAATCAGTCGTTATAAACGAATATAAAACAACGGCAATTTAGACAAATCGACCTAGGTTACCATTGGTCCAACGCAAATCAACAAGTATCCAGATCCTTTTACATTTTTGCAATACAACAATTTGGGCCTGCGATTGGCTTGTGGAGTGTCAGGTTCTCAGTATTTATATACGTAAATCTATTAAGAAGGAAATAGGATATTTCATTAGAAGCATATAAATGTGGAAGCGTTTCTTATAAATATAATTCAATATAATCATACAGTTCCACGCATTCCGACTATCTTCTCCTCCGAAGTATACTCTTCCAGTAATAATCGTTTCTTCCTCTTGCAGTTGACTTAGTCTGCAGACTGATACATTTGATACAAAGACCTCCATTGAAATCAAGTCTATTTTTTGGGGGAACAAAAGGATATAAGGGTAATTTCTAATACGTTTGTTTCATGTTGTGAATTAAGGCTCAAGTTATTCAACTAACCTGTCGACTGCCTCCCAGGTAACGGCGAGAGAAGTTCAAGAAGAAATTTTTGGTCTTGGCTGAAAAATTGAAATCCAAGAAGTGTCAATTCAGATGGTAAGATTAATCTTACAAACTAGCACTCTCCAACGTTCAATAGCTCTCCAGGATTGCGATATGTAACACACCATACTCTCCAACAATTCTTCGTTGTCGTGGCTGACGATAACAATGCTGAATTTGCATATCTGGATATTCTATACCGTGAACTGATACCCCCCAAAATACATCTTATTCAAGAATATGAGTGCGCGTAATTAATAGTCATCTATGTAATAGTTAAAAAGATATCACAAATTCGTAAACATCCTCTACTGTAATCAACCGAAGACCTCCACCAATCATAAAGTTAAACCTACCTCAACACTAGAATATAAAACTCGGTGAATGTAGCCAACATTATGAAATTGTGCAAAGGCTTTAATCCCATCCTCGCCACCTATCGTCTTCATGGGTTGTGGAAAGAGAGTCGTTGACAACTGTAAAAAAATCCATACACGATAATCACGAGTGAATGTAGAATCTTAAAATTATTCCTTTCTTCGTTTTTCGCAACTCATACCATCGTCCCTGTAGTTAGAAAAGATTCATCGAATGCCGGTCAAACGTTCGAGGTAACGCATAGATGGATCAAAAGCATAGGAGATCAATGGATGGCGAAATATGACAACATTGTTAGTTGCATGAAAAGATCCAGTCTTTGAAAACAAGTAACTCTGCATGATTAATAATTTAATAAACGGGCTCTTTATCTTTCCGCTTGTCATACAAGTCATTATTACCTTTCCATATATTAGTTATTATTATGCCGACAATTGGTCGGATTATCAAAGAAGCGCGGAAAGTAGATACTATTACCATTATGAAATTGAACCAAATGATTCATAGGACGTTTGACAAAAGGTTTTGCACATATAACTTATTTTATTATGGCTGGTGATACGGCTTTCTATAAATGTTTATACTGCATGTGTATATAAAGATAATCAGATTTTTACATCTTCGTTGTATACACAACTCACTCCTCTTGCAAAAATGACTAGAAATTGTCAATCCAGAAATACTGCGCACACTGTTATAGTCAAATATATGAAGACAATTAAAAACAACCACTTAGTATTAGTAGAATTTACTAAACCAAGTCTTATTATTAAAAGACTGAGAAGTAAACATACAAACGGGGCTGGTACCGTTGAGCAACACCGTGAAGGTGCTGGCCCCGTTTCCAACACAAAGACTCGAGGAAATATTATAGACATTTTTACACTTGCTAAAATCCCACAAACTTCCACACCGGGACTTCAGCCTACCGTCTCGGATATTTGGAAAGCCGCTTCCCGTGGAAACGTCGAGTATAGGGAAACTCAATGTCGACTCTTCGCATCCTTCCGGGCGACCAAATCCTCGTCTCGAAAACTGTGGATACTGTTTGCATGCGCAAAGTGCCATGTATTATTTTAAGCCCCCTCGAGAGCCGGCCGGGGGGAATAATCTTCGGTCTAAGAGACTTGTTCAAGAAACTACAGTCTTTCGGCCTGTCATCCACGTGACCGGATATTGAGCTCCGGTATTTCATATTTCAGCGCCGCAGTCGACAGTATTTCTGGAGTGGAGCGGACATTTTCGGATCAAGCTATGAAAATGTAAATAATTCGCTTTAAAAGAATTAAAAAAGGAACATTACTAAAAATAGTAGAAAATTAACAAATATTACCATCACAAGGAGTACTTGGAATTTAAAAGAGACACTTAAGTAGCTCGAGAAATCGGCATGTTCATTCAGCACTCAATCTTTGAGTAAAAGCGCATTTTTATTAGCTTTCTTTCAATAATTATTGTATTTATCAATAGAGTAGCTCTCCGATATTCTAATAAAATTGTATGATTATTATATACTATACATGTAATGGATTAATTGGTTGTCCGTCAATTATTGGCTTGGCATTACATTACGATTGCTCAACAATCGGTAGAAATGGATTAGCATATACAAGACCAGACACACTGAACCGTGGATATTACTGTAAATCCAATTGCCAAAAGCCTCGTTGGAAATAGCTAAATTCAACAACGTCGATAGTCATTTGGCTCGACACTATCAATCAAACATTGTGGGAAGATGCATTCATGCAAATGGGAATCTCATTATTATAGAATTAATGAACGATAGAATAGAAGCTGCTATCAAATCAAATAGTAATAGCAATTTAACTATTAATAAACATGTTTGCTATATTATTTTGGGAGTTTATTATCTGTTTATATTTATATTTCTAAAACAATAATAAAATTTCTTTTAACATTAGAATTTTTACAAACGTTTAATTCGTCACAATTATTACAGCTACAAAAGTTTCATTATGCAAAAGTAGTAGAAATTGGAAACTCAGCCTAACGAAATTCATGTGCGTTATTGCTATGTCTGGACGATCCCACTTATTTATTATCAATCAATCACTCAAAATGGTGAGATCGTCTGTTAACATGGACATATCATTTATTAAAAAAAAAAAGTCTTATATATGACATACAATTTATAACCCGTACTGTAAATAGAATAGAATGTAGCAAAAGTATTTATACAATAAATTGTAATACGAATAATAGTTCGTATTCGAAATCAAGCCCTTTCTTCAATTAAATCTAATTGATCGTTAAGCTCTTCACATCCGCGCAATGAAGTAAATCATCGTCGTGAACATATTCAACAGTTGACTGTCATGGTGTTTCAAAGATTCATTCGATAATGCAGCCTCTGACGTCGGAGGAGACAACAGCAGTGACAATAGAAAAGAGAAATACGTTGATTGATAAGACCAACACATTCTCGATGTACGACAATTGACCATAGCACTATTACTGTCACCGCATATTTTAGTCAAATTTTTAGCCGGAAGCTGAGTTGCAAGCATCTTCTCTGTTGGCGAATGAGTAGTATACTAGAGAGAAAATCCATAACCTTTTTTCAATGTTTCTGTGTAGCCAAACGCTACGAGTTCTTTCGAGTCGTTAGCGGTCTTGGTTAGATTCCAGTGATTCTGAACTGATGTCAACATGATAGTGCCGCCTTTCTAGTGTTCGAATAATACATTCTTTTCTTCTTATCAGCTTATTCACCGAGCAGAGCTCGATTCTTTCTCTTCTGATTCGTCCGTTCGTCTTAACCCAATCTTCTCATTGATAGTAAAATCAACCTTTCTAGATTCCTAATTACATCATCATTGCTCGTTGATCTTCTGTTCAAATTTGCAGCCTTCTGTTCGTGTGTTAAAGCGTCAGACTTTGTAATGTTGATTGATCCAGGAGGCATTAAATTGCTTGTATATGTGGGTAAAGAGATAAACTGCGGACATTTATAAGAATAAATCCAATTAGGAAGTTACTATCGAGTAACCTCTTTGCATATGTAGTCGTATGTGGAGCCATAGCGTTGTTTTTGTCGATGCGGTATTAGCGCTGTTGTGTGGTAGAATTTGCGTTATTGTGGTGACAGTGATTGCGTTGTTATATGTGGCGGCGATAGCATTGTCGTAGTAGCAGCTACGTCGCAGTTTGGGCAGTTTGGGCCGAAAGAATAAATATGCTGCGGACCATCCATATGTTGTAAACAGAAAGTCAGTACCTGACGATATTTATTAGTGGTCACCAACAAACCAGTGAGAAGTAGTAAAAGCTCATACTTACTAGTCCCTGATATAACCTTTCCCTATTATGACAATCACTTCGATATTCCCGCTTCTATTTATTACACCAAAGCGTTAACATAACAGACTTCTTTCACCGTAACAATACACGTTAAATGACAAAATTACCTCTTCCAACTGCCGAAGCACGGACACCTTTGCGTTGCCGCCTGTTCATCCGCATCCCGGTGCAGGAATTTTAACCTGCTTCCCTATCTCTTAGGATCGACTAACCCACGTCCAACTACTGTTCGCGTGGAACCCTCCACTTCAGTCTTCAAAGTTCTCTTTGAATATTTGCCACTACCACCAAGATCTGCGTTGAAGCACAAGTAGTTTTTAACGCTATCCTCATTGGGTAATAAACGGCACGTGAATTGAAAATCAAATGAGTGAGTAACACAAAATTTTATGCGCCTTTCGAAAAACAATAACGATAAAATTTTATATATTATTGTTATAAAGCTGTCTCTAAATTACGATGTGAAAATATATGATTATATATGTGTAACACGTAATATACATAATTTTATCGTTATTATTTTCGAAAAGCGCTTCAGAGCCAATTGTAGTTTGCATATACACACGGACAGGATAGATTTTTAAAAAAAGAGACTTTTCATATGTTTTACTAGTAAAACGTTCAATTCTGTGCTAAAAAGTATGTAATAATAAATCATACCATTACGGGGCAAATGCACCAGCGGACGTCCGATTATCTATGCAATAGTACAATTACTCACTCATTTATTGGAGGGCACTGTACATTGTTATAATGTACTCCTCCTAACTTAACAACGTCTCTCTTAGATCCGTCTTCCTCTTATCCATATACGCCTTCCTTAACTCTTTGACTTTTTATTCTAAGTGGATGTGAAGAAGACAAGCATTTCATCCTTAAATCATGTTGATACCGCACAGAACGCGTAAAATGTCCGATTAGCCGGATATTTGTTGAATTTCATAATCACCAAATTCTTAATACCAAATATTTTGTTCCAACGCTTTGATATGCGTTCTTCAGGATTCCTACTTGCGAAATTTATATTAAAGCGCTATCATGACAACTACTGGTATCGCGTTCCCGCTCGCTCTAATCCAAGCTGCGGGTAAAAAGGCTTGTCCAGTATTCGCTAGAGAACCTAGTGGCTTTAATAAAGCGTTCGCGTGTGCATGATCAACCCCACCGATAACGCTGAAGTTTTACGGGCTTTATAACAATAAAATGGAAACAAATAATAAGGCTTAGTATATAAACGCAACGAGTATGAATATCTGAGAACTCAGATCGAGAATGAGAATTCCCAAACAGATACTATAACCATTCTACACTTCCCCAATTCCGCATCTCTCCGACCCACCAAAATTCTCATTCCCGTAAGAAATGTTCACGCGGGTAACTGTAAGTGTAAGAATTAATTTAGAGGTTCAATCTTCAAATAAAATAGCAGTGCGCCAATACATTTATAAACTTTATGATGCTTGGCCAAACTTACAATCGTTATTATTTCTATATGAATTAGCGTGTGTTGATTGTCAAATATGGTCATTTAGGTTCCTTCAACCAGTATTTCTTTCCAGTTGAGATGAGGAAGACGGGGAGTAAGTAGGGAGCGGAGTGAGGGAAAGAAATTGAATGATAAATATTATTCACCATGAATTAAAATTGTAGAAAATCGATATCACGTTTGCTCAAGCGGAACTTGAAGACTTCAAGTGGACGTCTGGCAACAAGTCTTTGGATTCATTTATAATCCAAAAATCATACA